GAGCTGGGAAGCTGAAATTCTGAGAACATGTTCCCACCCCGTGTGCCATCCTTCCGTTTTGAAGTCACTGCTCGATCCTACGTGTGAAAGCCCTTGAGCAACATGTAAATTTATGGCAAAAAGGAAAACGATTATGGGAACCGGTAGCCATGGGAAGCTTAGTAGGGATATTCTCTGTCCATGTGTGAGCTAAAAATTTCAAATTCAGCTATCGCGCATGCTTGAGTCATCCGTACAGTCATGTCAAATTTTGCAAATTGGCACCGCGCAAACTCAGAAACTTGCTGAAAAACAGTAGCTGTGATTTTGCCAGAATATTTATCGTCTATCTGGGAAATTGTATATCTAAACTGAGTTTCGATTTACGTTTATGCTACTCCTTAGGGCAGTTCAAAGGTGTTTGTACTGAAGTGTTTGTAGCGAAGATAAACATGTGCGCTGGAGGTCTACGCGGTTTCATTATGCAATACTACCGTCCCAGCTGATGCTGCATGCAAGAAAAGGCCGAAAACAGCCAACATGTGCTCACGTATTAAACTGTAAAAAGTGAACATTCATACCGTTGACGATCTGGCTATAGCACAAAAACGCGTGATCGCGTCAGCAAGCCTGATGAATCGCTAGCAGGAGTGTTCTTAAAATTAAATTTTTTTTGTTTCTTTACATTCTGAAACTCTAGAGAAATATAAAAAAGAAACACTTTTCCGTCTTTTAACAACTGCATTTGTCCCAACTTCCTCAGCCGACTGTGTTTAAATTTATTGCCATTTTAGTGCCTCCAACGCTAGATCCGATGCGTCTCGATATTGGAAATGTTTATGAATGGTTCAAGAATCCAATACCACAGACCGTATGAATTCCAGTTTTTTATGTGTTTTTTAATCATACTGCCAAAAGGCTGTGTATGTTTGTATGTATGTTTTAAGGCGTGAGAACCTGGGAAGCTGAAGCTTTCCATGGACATTCTCTGTTCATGTATGAGCTAAAGGTTTCTAATTTAACTATCGCGCACGATTGCGTTACGTCTACGATCACTTTAAACTTTGCAACTGGCACCGTGCCGACTCGAAAAATCGCCTGAAAATGATAGCTGTAATTTTGCTAGAATGTTTATTGTCTATCTAGAGAATAGTACTTCTAAATGGAGTCTCGAATTGCACTTGCTTGGCGCTTTCATCCACAACAAAAATATAGTTGCGGCGAAGTGACGAATGAGATGCCGGGCAGGCTGGGAAGTTGAAATTTACCAAGAATATTCTATATCCACATGTAGTCTGAAGTCAGACTGAAGGATAAATCTCCTGCACACAGACATGAGATATGCTTAATTCTACCCCAACCTCAACCTAGGTTGTGACTCACTAGGCTTGCTTGTGCAATCATGTGTTTTACACCAAGCTTGAGGCAATCAGATCATTAACTTATGAATGGTTTTTGCTTTACATTTAACCTGTGTACCCACCACCTAATATTGCCGCTAATTTTGCATGAAGGGAAATGAATTTCCAGCAACTGGTTAAATGACCTATCTGTTCTGGCTCACGAGTTAGCAATTCTCCTGCTAAAAATTTCCCCTGTAAGTGAAAACCAAGCGTGCTTAGGAACTGAATTTTGAGCCTTTAAGCTGTACGTAGACAGAAAACATCTCCTTAAAATCAGCCTTCCAGCATTTTCTCTTCTTCTCTTTCACTTATCCTTCTTGCAAATTAGTTACATGTCTTTCAATACATGGCGGGTAGGAGGCTGTACTGACAATTTCCACTCCTACCCGCATGCACTGTTCGGTCTGTGTATACAGCTCGGGGATGAAACACAGACTGCATCATGAAATGTTCTCTTATACATGACACTTAATTCCAATCTTTTTCTCCACTATTCCCCAGTTAGCAATTTTCACCTCAAAATTTTCACGTGCCCATACATGGAACTCGGACATGCGTGCGGGGCATAGTGCTTGGCCAGGGAATTCACTGGCAAAATTTCAAAATCAAAACTTATCTGGTTGTCGAAGTGAAATACCTGGACAGACGAATAAACACCTCATGGGTCGTTACAATATGCGTATTTGCATTTATATAAATAAGCAAACACGCATACAAACGATTGCATCTTGCTCGGATTTCGTCATCCTTCTGTCTCGACATCGTGTTAATTATCCTCCCTTCATTTTCATTGAAGAACCGGTTTTCGGCATTATTCGTTTTCTCTCTGCAACATTTACGGCAATCATGCATGCTGGAGGTTGATTTCACGTGGCCCGACCATGCTACGCCACCGTCTGAGCTAACGTCGTTTTCCCCGCATGCAAGAAATGAGCAGGATGCAGTCAACATGAACGCGCATGTTGAACTGTAAAGCAGCAACCACTCATACTGTTAATGATCTGACTGCTTCTGGTTTAGAGCAAAAATATATGGACGTATTGGCAAACCTAAGTCGTTACCTGGGCTATTCGACTGAGGACATTTCTTTTGAAAAGATTTTGATCATGTTTTCTAGCTGTTTTAAACTACTGAAGTCGAATTTCAGGTGATGCCAATATCTTGGTACCCTAGAAATTTTACCAACCCAGACCTTGACTACATCGATCATAACATTCGAATTAGTGACGATCAGTTGTATTCTGTGCAGCTTGGCTTGTACGTTGTTGGCTACAAAGAAGCGGTTGACGATCAAGTATATTTGCCTTCATTTGTTTTAACATCTGAAACTTGGAAACAACTGTGAGTGGATTAAGTATTCAGTCAAGATGCATCAAACAATCCTTTGATACTTATTTTTTTCATAAAATTTTCAAACTGCAGATAAAAAAATTTCGCCCCGAGTATCGTGTCTTGTGTCGTCTGGCAACATATGCAAATAAAAACACAATGGAATATCGATGGAAACCG